ACCTCAGGCAGGCTGCTACAAAACTATGTTGAAACGTCACATCCTTTTAGAAACAGCACAAAACCAATCCTGCATCTGCTTCTAAAAATACCGCATAGGATAAACATATGCTTACTAATTAAAAAAATATAAAATAGCTCAGGGACATTACCTTTTCCTTATAACACTGGCACAAATTAACCAATAGAACAGTTTCCTTTTTTTTTTTTTTCTTCTAGGAAAGATGAGGGGGAGGAAGGAAAGTAATAATTATAGGTTATTACATGACTGGCTGTTAATGAATTTTGGAAACAGTGTCTTACAAGCCAGCTGAAACCAAGCACATCCAGAAAAAAGGAACAAAACTAAAGACCTCAACGTAACCACCAATAATTCAATATACAATTCGTTATAACCAACTTTTCTGTAGTAGGGATATTAAATCATACTGAACAAGATAATCTATTAGTTTTATACCATTCTTATGCTCTCTGTAATAAAAATAATCACCATATATAGATAGCTCTTTTTCAGGAAATGAACAATTTAGAGTCTTAATGCCACCTATTCAACCAGTTTGTGTTTGTATTATTTCTCACTTCAAGCACTTAAAGATGTACCTAATTTGTTGGGGAAGAAGCACTGCTCGCTCACTACCTCATGCAACACCCATTTAAAATGAAAGTAAAAAAAAAAATCTGATTTTTCACTAAACTCCAGTGATACTTGGATAGGGCTTCTAGAGATCAGTTATGTGCATGGAAGTCATATATCCCACATTATTGGAGCAATGTGACACAATCCAAAGCAGTTTTTGTTTGTTGTTTTTTTTTTGAAAAAGAAAAACTAAATGCTGGTACCAAGCTTTGAACAGCATTTAAACAACCAGGTTTCAACACCAACAAGAAAAGAGTAAACACTTCTGGTTAGCAAGTTCTATTTAAGAGATAATAAACACAACCATTTCAAGTCAGTTAACTGTAACTCTTCAGCAGGCACCCCCAGCCCCTCAAATCCCCACCACGTTAATACTGGTAGGGTATTATGAGTCACCAGACTTCACTGGCACTGGTAGTATTAAGGAAAGAGAATGCCAGGAACTTTATTGCTACCAGCACATTCAGAACTTGAAGGGACCAATGGATGTAAAGGCTACAAGCAGATCTCCAGCAGATTAAAAAAAAAAAAAAGAGTTAAAAAATTACAAGGACTGAAAAATACAAATAATCAAATAGATGTATTTCATCTAGTTTACCTCAGTATTTTAAACATTATACATTTTATTGTTTAGAAAAGATGACATTGCAGAAAAATAAAATAAAATTTGTACTTAACAGCACAAAAGTTTTACATGGTGGTATAAAAAGTCTAATGGGAGCCTGGAGGAGGAAAAAGGGAAACAGAACAATAAACAACAACAACAAAAAAAACAAAAACATATTCCAAAAAAAAAGTAAAAAGCTAAAACAAATTCCAGAAGTGTAAATCTGAAGGTTTTAGCTGTTTCAAATACACAACTACGTGTGCCTTTCACAATAACAGTCACAACTGAATGAGACTTTCTGTACTACTGCAACCCTTCAACAGGCCAGTCTGCAAGTTAAAACAAACATTTCAATATAATAAATTGCAAAATTGGTAAGTATGCAATTATGGATTGCTTTTAGTTGTTATAAAAAGCTCGTTTACATATCTAATGCTTCATCTTTTATATTCAAACTGTGCTTAATGTTTTTTAGTTCAGACATACTGAAACCCAGCAGCACAGATGGTTTGTGATTATTTATTGCCTTTAAGCACGTACTCCTCCTTTTCCCAAAAAATGACGCAACATCAATTTTCCAACCATACAGCAGCGAGGATAGCAATTCCAATTCTTTTTTTGAAGGATAGGGCCTCTCGTGAAAGTAGTCTGTCAAAAACTGTTTCTGAGCATCATACGAATTGTGATCATATTGTTTAGGATCTACTGCTAGAATATGCAGATCCTCACTGGAAGGAATTTTCTTTATCTCAGTCCTATTAACCTTCTGTCGTTTGAAAGGCACTAGCCCTGAATACAATTCTTCCTCTGGAGATAGAGCTATGCCAGTACATAAGCTCAGAGACTGCTGTTCCTTATTCCTTTGGTCTTCTGCAACGAAACAGGAATCAGATAGCTTCCTTTTCAGTATCACGGAATCATGCTTTTCACCATTCACAAACAGTAACTCTTTTTTCTCAGTACGTTCAAGCTGCATCTTCATGCTTGAGTTGCTGTCTTTGGGAGCACTTCTACAACGGAGCAAATGCACAGCAATAGCTGTTAGAGTCATATTTCCAGTGTACACGCCACAACAGTGGATGCACTTGAAAGCAGGAGACTTTAGAATTGTATGTACAGTTGGCATAATATGATGCCTTTCTTTCAAATGCATTTCATAGGTTCTTTGACTAATAAATGTTCCAAAACAAAAGGGACAGGTTAACACTTTCTTGCTGTACCTGTTGTTCACTTCTGCTGCTGCCTGAGGTTTCACTTTGATGTAAACCGGGACTAGCGTCCTCCAATTTACTCCAGCAAGCACTGCCAAATGTACTTCTTTTTCACCAATGTCTTCTTTTGGTAACACTGTACTGAAATCAAAGTGAGGAAATACAAGGTCACCCTGAGCCTCATTACCTAACTGAAATCCTCTGTTGCTATAGTCTGCATGTAACTGCTTTTTCCCATTATGAGTAGTTTTATTGTGCTCCACGAGGCTTTTTAAGTCATGGAAAGTAACTGTGCAAAACAAACAAGCTAAGCCGTGCATCAAGAGATGTTTCATGAGCTCTTCCTCACAGAGAAAACACTTACAAGAATAACACCGGACAGTCTTCTCTGTCATCCACCTTAGAAAGGGTGCACAAGCTGCAAGTTTGTCAGGTTGCTGTGTATCCTTCATTTTTACTTCACCGTGTTTGTGGGCCACTTCCATGTGTACCTCATACACGTTTGACGGGAAGAGCTCATTGCAAACAGGGCAAGTCTTCCATTGCTTAGCCTGTCTGACAGCCTGACTTGTTTCAGGACGAGGTGGGGGAGCTTGTAATGATAGATTTTGAGACGTCAAAAGCACAGGCGGAGAGGGTGCACTAGCTGGTGACTGAGATAATTGAGTTACTGCTCCGGACTGCATTAGTTGGATAGGCATTTGTGGTGGAGTAACTGTTGCTACTCCACCACCAGGAGGTACAGGCAAAGTAACTGAAACTGGGGCAAGCGTGTATGTAGGTATCCCATTAACCTGCTTCCCGGTTGGGATCAACTGCCGAAGTATAGAACCTGCAGTCAAAAAAGCTGCATTTTGGGAAACTGCGGGTCTAACTGGCTGATTTACAGGGATAACTGCTGGGGCAACAGGTTGATTAAGCTGAAGAAACCCAGGTCCGACAGGAACAACTCCAGGTGCGACAGGCTGATTAAGCTGGAGAACCCCTGGGGCAACTGTCTGAGCCACGGGAAGGACTCCGGGAGCTGTGGGCCTGTTCACATTCCCAACCGAGTGGTTGACAGAGAGAACTGCCGGTGCGACTGGCTGATTCACAGGGAGCACTCCCGGTGCCACCAGCTGATTCGCAGGGCTGACAGGCTGAGTTACAGGTAATGTCGCAGCTGCAACTGGACTATTTATAGTACCAATAGGCTGATTAATAGGAAAGAGTCCGGGCCCGACAGGTTGATTAAGAGGAATAACTGCAGGGGCCACGGGTCTGCTTAGGGTCCCAACAGAATGATGAAGAGGAACAGCCGTCGTCCTGACAGGCTGATTAAGAGGAAGCCTGTGAGAAACAATTATAGGCTGAGAAGGTGATGGCTGAATACTAACACTATTCTGACCTACAGGAAGATGACTGGATACAAGAGTAACGTGTGATGGGGTAACAATGGGAGCAGAAGTTGTATGTGGAACACTACCAGAGGCACTTGGAACAGTCAGAGATCTGACTGTGTTCTGAACTGGTTTTGACTGCACCACAGTCTGGTTTTGATTGTTCTGTGGAAGTGCAAGTTGGATGCAAGCTGGAGCTGTGATGGAACCTGCTGGGGCTGCAGGAGGCCCTGAAGATGGAGCAGGCGCAGCCGCACTTTGGGGAGGCTTTGGAGCAATATGCATTTGTTTCACAAGTCCAGGTTTCTTAATGTGTTCTGAAATCACAGACCGAAGTTTGTTCTCCAGGTCTCTGTGTGTTTCAGATGTCAAGACATGATACATTAAAGAATCCTGGCTGTTTGCAGAAGCATTACATTTTTTACAGTAGTGCTCAACAGAATTCTCTTCACTTTCATCAGGTCTCTGGCCAAAATATATACTTATTAAGTTTTCGAAGTGGTTCATCAGAACATGTTTCTTCATATTATAGTACAATGTGTCTGTAAAGTTACATTTTAGACACGTGAAGTTTATGATATCACTCCTGAATTGTTTCATGCCATCCAAAATGCTGACTGTATAGTTCTGTATTCTCTTATTAGATGAATGAAACATCCGGATATGTTTTCCCACTATTTTTGGCTCAGAAGCAAATGCACATTTTGGGCAAGGAACCACAAGCTCTTGGTCCATTTCATCTTCATGGCAACGGTGCAAGTGATTCTTGAATGAAGTAAGCAATTTTGATGAGAACTTGCATAAACTACAGCAGTACGGCTTGGTTCTGTACCTCTGCAAACAAACAAAAAACAAACAAAAAATCCGCTTAGAAACCACCGTTTCCTAAATCCCTGTTATCTGTTTTAAAGTAAGTCTGCTCTATCACCTGTCAAAAATGCCTTCACTGTATGCATAGTGTTTATCTACTTGGTTTCATAGAGATCTGTTTTTGTTGAAAAGCAGACTTAAAAGATGACATACTTGAAGGGAGAAACATTTGTGCCCACCTTCTTCCCCTGTAATTTATTAAGCCTTAAGTGGGTTCATTTCTACTTCAAGTCATACAAACTAGTTATGAAGCCATTTTTAAGAACAGATTTGACAGCTTTTTCTCCCTTATTGCAGCAACTTTGGAATAGGACACCTTGAAGGACCATCTTCTTTTCTTCCAAATCTAGGCAGCATGAAACCAAGTAAGTGAATGACATAGATCAAAGAACCAAGTTGCTTGAAGAGAAATACAAGCTTAGCATTCAAAGGACATAGCTTGGCAAATCGGATCAACATCTGGTCCTAAACCTGTGAATCCCAGTTCAGAAAAGGAGAACTAAGAAGAACTAGAAGACAAAGCAGACAAAGGTCATGGGAGAGGGGGAAATCACTTCCTACTAAATGAGCTCAGCAAAGTCTGATTGATTTGGTCAAGTACAGCAACTACTGTACTTGATAGCCTTAGTTCGCATTTTAAACACAGTAAGTACAAATAACAAACCCTGGCAAACCACCACCATACAATTCTAAACCCTTACCTTTTTAGCAAGATGAAAAGAGGAGACCTACTGTTGTTTACAAGTTGTAAAGGCCTTCCTCATGGAAAAGGGTCTCAAGACTCTTCAGCACGACTCAGAATACCTTTTCTCTGGATATATTCCTATGCTTTATACATGATTTCTATACTTTTATACTCCGATGGGTTTCTAAGATACTTCGTTTTGTCCATCTCAACCCTGCCTTTCTTGGAGATTCTAGCTTCACACAAGGTTCTATATAAAGAAAGTAAAAGCTGTTTCACATACACAAATCTAACAGGAATGTTTTTTCCACTGCAACCCTACCCCAAGCTGCAAATGAGAAATTCAGCTTAATCCACTTCTACCTATGCAATCCCATTTTCATCCTTCCAATGAAAAAAGAAGCATATTGTGTATAAAACCATGTTAAGTCTACATATCAGATGAGGCTAAAAAGGCAGAATGTTAGCATGATACATGAAATATTAACGTTCAGGGTTGTGTCCTTCAAGACTCCAAACAGAACAGTCTTTACAATCTGATGAATTACAAAAAAAGAACATAGACAATGAAAGACTATTACCCAACAGTATTTAGAAAACAAAGCTGTATTTACCCATAAAAATGGGTTTTAGCTTTAGCTTACTTCTGAAGTTGGTAAGATACAGCAATTCCACATGTACATCTATTCAGAATTTCTAATACAAAAAAAACTTACCTTCCTTTTGCCCACAGACTCCCAAGGAGAGACATCACTCCATGAAGTGTTGCAGAAGTATTTTTCACCTGGGTCAAAACTTTTAAGATTCTAAAGAAAAAAATATGAAATCTGCTTCTGTAGGTCTGTTCTCAACACAAAAACAGTCTCAACACAGAGCAAGTAAACAGGATGAATGCAAAGTTCATACAGTATTCAGGTTTCAAAACTCAGTTCAAAGTTACTTCTCTAACTCAACTTCAATTTATGTTACCTCAATTACTAGCTCAAATGACTGTCTCCTGTGATAGTGGGAATTCTGAGAACTTCATAGTTACTGAACATAATATAGCAAAAATATTTATACTTTAATTCCCTTGCTTCTAGCCAAGTTCACAGTGAACAATGAAAGACCTTTTCTCCCTCTACCTTCTCTTTCTAGAACTTCAGTATTTCAGCATTTACTTCCATTTATTAACTTATCATTATGGTTTACTTTGCAACAGGAGTCAGTATTAAGTTTCCATAGCATTACTATGCTTTTAACTTGGAAAGACAACGGCATTCCCAGAACCTTTTCCCAAGGAATAGCAGTATTTTTCCGAAATCTGTAAGAGTGGCATTATTATATCAGGAACAACCGTATCAGAGTAAACAACTTTCCTTACAGCATTCTTCTAATCAATTATATTAGAACAATTTAAGTTCCCCAACCTTAAGTCAGCCACTACTATAAAGTTCCTCTCCAATTTTCTGAGGCCCACATACCTCCAAGTACAAACTTCATGAAAAAAATAAAAATAAAAAACAGATTCCTGTTTACTAGGCATTTCTAAAGATCCTTGGCCAACTCCAACAATACCCTAAAGTGCCTTAGGTAAAACATAGGCTATAAAACCAGGCTTAACCCACAGAACATAATATAGTTTCTCCCCTCACATTCCCCTTCCCTTCCACAAACCATTTTTCACTTGAAATTTCTTCAAGATGCTTAAAGAGGGTACAATGTTTTCATTTGTGCACCAAAACCCACTGGAGCAGCAGAAGCAGGTAATTAAGACTAGCTAAGATTAGCTCACTGTCAAGAGAAGCGGAATTTATGCATCCTCATAGTTTGTGGTCAAAACCATGATGCAATACTTACAAGCAATGCAGGATATAAATAGCAACAACAACAAAAAAGATTAAAAAAATCCTGTAGCAGTCAACGCTACTTAATGCAGACTTTGTTTGCACTAGCTTCCTGCCTGCACGGTGCTAACGTGAGCATCGCTATCCATGCAACAGAAAAGCATGCTAGTGATAATTTTATTTAAATTAACTTTTTTCCATGATTTAGAGAAGTGTAATCAAGTCTGCAATAAGCTGCTTTCTAGCTTTTTCAACCTGCAAGTTGCCCCAAAGAGAATCCTGAAAATCTCAGAACAATGAACCAACTTTTTCCATTCTAATTAAGGTATTGGTACTATCTAAGTTTACTTCTTAAGCCAAGCACTCCTGAAAGCTCATGAACTTACAGAGCACCCTTACCCTGAGAAAGACAAGTTAAGTTCCACACCCTTATAGCATACAGTGATTCTATTTTAAGTCTTGATAGAGAAAAAGACTCAAGATTTACAAGTGTTTAGTTGAACATTTTGCTTCTCGTTTGAGTACCCTCCACAAAGAGAGGCTCCTAGACTTGAACACCAGACTCCTACAACCCAAACGTGTGCGCTAGTAGGTCTAGAACATTTTGCAGAAATGTCTATTTTGTACAGAGAAATATTCACTGATAAAGAATCCTTCTTATCACTGCAACTGGTAAGTGCTGCAAATGGCTTATTCTGAATTCTTGTTTGATGTCCAGAAACTACATGTTATGCTCTTTCCAGATCTTATTTCAAGAAGAGGAAGAAAATAGGAGGAAAACTACAGAAGTGAAAGGTAACAACGGGAGAATAAAACCCTCTGAGAAACTGAAAAACTCTGACATTACAGCATAATCATACTTACTAGTGTTACTTTGAGAAACAAATGCAATTTAGCACAAAAGATTTTCTTCCTAGCAGAGAGCAATGAAGAACTTTGAGCCCAACAACTGATCCTGCTGGTCTGAGCTACAAGGAGATACTGAGCTGTACATGAAGTTCCTTCACTTTCCTCAAGCTGCTATGCACTGCCATGCCTTATTAGAACGGTTTAAAACCAATCTTAAGTCCAGATAAGAAGTCAAGTCTGCATCAGATCACATCATACCGTTTCCTTAATTGTCCTGCCTCCTCAAAAGCACGATGTCCAGAAATCCACCTTAATATTTGAAGAAAAAAACAAAAGACCTTAAGCTACTTCTCTCCTACTAAAATATCAGGCATCCTTTTCTACTAAAAAGACAGTCTGTCAGCATACAAGGCAAGTAGAAATTAATTCTAAAAACAGTTCTTGTTGCTGGTTAAGTCATGAACAGCCCCAGATTGTCTGGGAAATAAAAGTTAAGTTATATTTTGTAAATAATTCTCTCTCAGCCAAGCTTATACTAAAATGCTATTTTAGAGGCCTGCATTTCACATCAGTTCCAGAATCAAAATGCTCACCGGGTTCCCTGCCACCACTTTTTTTTTTTTAAATAAAACAGAAAAACATATTCCTTATTCACCATTAAACCTCAAAGAACCTTCAAAAACTTAAGATTGTAATCAATTCCATCACAAAAAACTAACGTAATCAAAATACGTTTACTTCAAAGGGTCAAAATAGAACAGCTTCTGAATGTTAATTTCAAAACAATACATAACACAATGAAAACAGTGCACAATTACTAGACAAATACACTGAGCTTTTACATTTAGAGCTAATGTTGTGCAACCACGATAACCACGAATGTTCCAGAATTAGATACGCATGTAGATCTTATGTAAATGATTTGAAAAAATGCTTATGCATTTTCAAAAAAAAAAAAAAAAAAACACACCACAAAAGACACAACAGCACCCCTACACAGAGTTAAATTGTTTTAGTCCCATCACAGAGAATTAATCCAAACTCTCGCCTACAGTCAATGTGAAGTTATGAACATATCAAACAGCCAAAAAAAAGCCCACTTATCAGCTGTTTGAAATACACTACCGTTTAGTAACCTAGTTGCATTACCAATACTTGCACTTTTTCTGGTAGTAGGCTTGCCAATCTGATGGCATAAATTCCTTGTGCTTGTTGCACAGTACCTTCCCCTGTAAGTGGTGACAATGGCACTAGATTCACTTTGATCACCTCAGTACCCTTACATATGCTTTTGGAGTTACAGAACTGGACTACATCTCAATAAGCCAAGTTTGGTATTTCTCCCTGGAAAGAAATCTTAGAGGCCTGCAGCAAGATTACTTGGATCCAACTGCTTGTTGTTTTTAAAAATTCCAGTAATTTGTATATCCTTCAGAGGTTTGACTCAAGTCTTCATGTGCTTATGATTTTAGAAGAACCATAAAAAATTTCTGTATAATACACAAGTGACATTTCATTAGTCTGTCGTGTTTTTCTTCAAGTTGTAGTTTCCTTTTGTTGAACTATTACTAGCAGAGAATACGCAGCACCATGTATAACTTATCTTGTTGAGAAGTGGAGCTTCTTTCAACCTGATGTCCTACAAAATTAAGTTCCACACCTAGCAAGTAAGTACTCATACTTAAGTAATCCTTTAATCCTTCAAGTCAATACACAATTTTCTTTTCTTCACCCCATCATAAAGACCTACGGCAGACGAACATGATATATGCACTAAACACTGAAATATTTTTCAAGTTTGTTTCTTTTTCAAGATTGTTTTACGTTATTTCAAATGCTTTACCTTCAACAACTCCCTGCAGCTGTCAAGTCCAAGATCCACAAGAATGCCCTTCACCTTTTTTCGAGCCTTCCTGATGTTATCAAGATTTTGAACAGGAATTTGAAACATTTTGCACTTTTCCTGAAAAAGAAATATATAAAAAGTGATGTCATATTTGAACACAGGCACTTGCATTTAACAATATTACGTTTTAACAATAAAAGTATTAACATTTAACAACTAAAACATTAAAATCTCAAATATATTCCTCAAAATGTAAGAGCAAAAGCTTTAAAACAAAGAAATGGCCTCATTAATACTAGCCAGTAGATCAATTCCTTCTCCAGGGTAGGAAGTGAGGGGGTACGAGGAAGGAATCCCTTTGTTTCTTCACTGCTATCTAAACAAAATTTCAAGTTTCTTCCTTCTAGATCTCTTCATGTCTACATGCAAGCTACAATGCATTTTGTCTTTTTTTGTTGGTGGTGGTTTTTGTGGTGGTTTTTCTGCTGGAGAACATGAACGTAAGAATTTTACTAAGTTGTCTTCAAAAAAAATTGCCATCAGTTCTTTTAGGAAAGAATATCAACTCTTTCACCTTGAATGTTACAGTGCCTAGATGAGACACTTTGTTAATCTGTTATGTTGACACATGCATAGATGTCTTAAATACGACTGCTAGCAGAACCTCGAATTTCCTTTTTTCTCCTCTCCCTAAAGAAATCTGCTGCTGTATGGGTTCTGACATAAAACAGGCTACTGAAAGATTAATGTAGCAGCAAAAAAAAAAAAAAAAATGTCATTACAAGCTACAGCTGTATGGCATTGATAGCAAATATGCTAAAGCAGGGCAAATTTTTTAAATGCATGCATGCTTTCAGTGTCCTCCTTTGAAGTGTACACATCTCTATTGCCTTGCCCTTCTCCAGAATTTGGATTTACACCCTATCCCAATCCCTCCACAAAGGTAGGATAGCTGGAGGTCAATACATAGAGGAGGAAGATAATTTAATCTCCTGCTGGTCACCTATTTGAAGGGTTGTTGCCAGATGTGTTTGCCCATCTGTCTAAAAACATACCACCAGCCATGGTCTAGCACTTCCCCAACAGCTGGGCTAGGGGGGCATCATTTGTATGGAAATTGCAATTTGTGGACAAGATGTACAACTGAGTTAGTTTAATCTGGAAAAAAAAAGTCAAAGAACTCACATGCTATTCTCCTCTTCTTCTCCCCCCAAAGGAAAGGTGTGTAGAGAGAAATGGAGAGGGAGCCCCATTTGACAGATGCTATTCTTGTTTTCTAATCTTCATTGGCAAGAAGTCTGGAAGACATTTTGATACCACCATGGGTGTGGGTGAACCTATATGGAATGGAATAAATCACAGTGACTAGTCTGACATTCTATCAAAATCCAAGCAGTAAAACGAAGATTTGACTTCAGTTTAAAAAGAGGACTTCAGCTGGGTATTTGTATTCTCTGGTTAAAGCCTTATTATCAGTCACTCTATGACAGCAGGTTATGTGCACCAACCCCATGGTCCGCTGCAGATAATGACAGAGCTGACAGGATGCCACCACACTCAGATCAGCAAGAGGGAGATGTGGTTCAGTACATTAGACTCCACTGGAAACAGTTCCTTCATCTCAGTCCTTGGACTTATACACTGATGCTACTGAAGAAGTAGACATCTCTTGAGCCAGGTCTACCTCAAGAAACAGAAATATTGGTATATAAAGGTTATATAGTACATCACATCCACGCTTCTCAGTTTTCTTAACCAGCAGACTTTCTGAAAAGTGACTTCCAGTCATTAATCCAGGAGAAAGACAAGTAAAAACAACAGCAAAAGAGAATCCTGAACACAGGGGAATTATTTTCCAGTTTTCAAGCAGCTGGTCTTCAATCCAAACAGATGTGCTTCTGTACCACATACAAGATTACTCAGCTGGTCCTTAAACAAACTGCTTGGGAGTAAGATTAAATTATTCACCTAGTGTACTCGTATCCACCGGATACAGCACTGTCCTACCATAAAGGTCATGAAATTTTAACTTTAAGTTATCCCTTCAAGCTCTCAGTTAATACCTAGATTACCATATTACCCATACTCATTTCCTATAGATTTATTTCTCTTATTTTGGACATTCTTCAAGCCTTAGCTTGTACACTGTTTCCATGAGTAACTTCATCAACCTTTTGTCAGTACACATCCCATTCTTAACCAGCAAATTGAACGTAAAAGCACTACAGTAAAATCAAACCTGAGCTACTCTAGCAAAGGAGTCTTGATCTGTTTCCTATGTTGTTAAAGGTAAATTTACTTTAAATTGTACCCAACTATTGTTATCAAACACTACTAATCCACCGAGTTTTCAGAGACAGTGCTTTTTATAAAGGAAACAAGTTAAGAGCACGATTAAAGAATCATTATAGCAGCTTATGTCCCAATCCAAACTCAGTTAACGTGAACAGTTCTGAACAGGTCATTCAACCATTTTCTGGGCATCTTATCCATTGATCTATACTTGAACACTAGATGCAGAAAATAATACAACCCTAACGATAGACTTCACTAAAGGTTCCCTTCCCCTTCTGTAACATCTACAACATTTTGGGCCCCTCACTACAAGGACATTGAGGTGCTCAAGTGTGTCCAGAGAAGGGCATGGAAGCTGGTGAGGGGTCTGGAGAAAAAGTCCTATGAGGAGCGGCTGAGGGAGCTGGGGTTGTTCAGCCTGGAGAAAAGGAGCTCTCTACAGGTACCTTAAAGGAGGCTGTAAGAAGGTGGGGGTTGGTCTGCTCTCCCATGTGCCTGGCAACAGGACGAGGGGGAACGGGCTAAAGTTGTGCCACGGGAAGTTTAGGTTGGATATTAGGAAGAACTTCTTTACCAAAAGGGTTGTGAGGCATTGGAATGGGCTGCCCAGGGAGGTGGTGGAGTCACCATCCCTGGAGGTCTTTAAAAGACATTTAGATGTAGAGCTCAGTGATGTGGTTTAGCGGAGGACTGGTTAGTGTTAGGTCAGAGGCTGAACTAGGTGATCTTGGAGGTCTCTTCCAACCTAAATGATTCTGTGATCACATATTATAACGTACAATTACATTCAGCTTTTTGACAAAGATGACTACTGCAGCTCTACCCCTTTCACTAATAACAAGTATTTTAACAAAGTAACAGACAGGACAGGTCATCCTAGCCAAAGGCAAATACTACTTGTTCACCAAGTAACTGTGTTCAACTTCTCCGCATTTAAAAAAAAAGTAAAAATATCAACATTTCACCTCTTGAAAGTGAGAAGTCACAACATGAAAGTTCCTGTTTGCCTTCCTTTTAGACATATTTTTTAGAACAATTCTCATTCACCCAGGAGACCCAGCCTGGCCTGCTATACAAAGCAGGCACAACAACAAATCGCAACCATAGTACACAGTGTCTTGGCCATTCAGGTCCTGAAAACCTCCACTGAGGAATTTCACAGATGCTCTGTGAAACCTGTTCCACTGATGGACTGCCCTCACAATGAAATGTTTTTTTTTCCTTATATCAGTCAGCACCCTTTTAATTTGTGTCCCTACAGAAACCAGGCATCTGCAATCCAATTAAACATGAAGCTGGTATGGAGCTGGACCAAAGACATACAAGCAGGCCTTCATCACGCATGCAAGAGGTTTCCAGAAAATTAATGCAAGTGGACAGCTAGATAGAAACCCTATTAGAAAAACCCAGAGAAAAGGCCACAGCGTGGCCCTTTTTAGACATCAGATAATCTACACAGAAGCTAGACCTGAGGACGTGTTCTTAGGAAGCCAACCTTCACTAGCCCACTGCTCATAGAACTGTTTATAATAGCAGAATTATGAAATGTTTACAGCATTTCATCCTTTTGTATTATCTACTTTGGAAGTCCAATCATTTTTAGTTTTTATACCTTCTTAACTAAGAAACTGCTTAATGATTAACTCTGGAGAGTTGTAAAGACTGGTTTTATGAAGACAGCTTTGAGGTATTTCAGTCAGAAACATTTTAAAAGGTTTCTTTGTCAGGTTACATTTCAGTGATACCCAGAGTTGACAAACAGAGTTGACAAACACTACTAAAATGAGAATCAAGAATTCTTTAAATGCATTTGAAGTTAAGTCA